CAAGAGAGATTTCCAGACAAATGCCGACTTGATATACATTAGCATGAATTAGGGAGGGATATTTGGATGGAGACCAATATCCGGAAACAGTTTGTCACTAGAATGTATTTTTGGCTTCATGATTTTGCTTCCCCAGGCAACTTTGAACCTTCAGGAACTAAGATATTGACCGCTCAGATAATGAGCACCCTTGTTGTGGAGTCAGGTATTGCAGCTAGTGAAGACAAGGGTAAGAAGACAGAATCAGGGAGAGTTTTTTGTTGTTTTAATGCAAAATTATCTTTTCAGGCAGGAGTCCTCTCTTTCACTAGGAAGCCTGGTCATTCCCAAGGGTACTGGCAGGAAGCTCCAAGTCACTGTGTCCAGGCCTGTAGAGCAGGCCTCTGTTGACTTCCTGGCATTGTAAAGGTTTTGGCTTCTTGCCCCAGCGTCTTGCAGAAAGTGATTTCTCAGAATTGTCTGTTCCTCCAGGGATGTGCAAGTATTTTAAGTTGAAGAGTTGTAAAGTGAACACAAAGCCATTCTGGACGAAGCCAATTTCATCCAGAGCAGTCCATCCATGTTTAGCTAAGTTTTAAATTTTATTGTTCTTTAAAAAAAAAAGCTATGTAAACACTGTGCCATCATAGGAAGCAGAAAGAAAATACCATCTGCAAGCCTACTACTCAAGCACAGCAGTGTTGTTCATCCTGTTCCATACTTTGTTTATATGTTCTTATTTATTATAACAACAATGAAAACTATGATAGTGGTCATCATTCATTTGCTTTTATTGTTGCTTGTCAGGCATGACATTTAATCGTCATTAAGAAGCCCCCAAATAGGTAATTATTATTATTATATTTTTAATTTTTATTTTAAAGATGCGGGGTGCAAGTCAGGGTAAGGTATATAAAATTAGGTAATTATTATTTTCATTTTGGAGATGAGAAAATTGAGGCATAAAGTGGTTGTTCAAGTTGAAATGGTTAGTAAGCTGTGGGTTTTGAACCTTGACAGCTCCTGAAGTTTCTTTCTTGACCACTACACTTCTTTGGCCTTATATTTTGCATAAAGCTATCTTAAACACACTAAAATTAAAAAATTTCCAATTACAATAAAAAAACGATTGGCATTTAATCTGAAATTTAGATATGGGTGTTAAGAGCACTAATAGAAAAATAAAACGTTAAAACCTTTAACATGTAGTGAATTAATATCATATTCAAATATAGCATCTTCCTTTTCTCCTTATTTGATATTGCACAAGAGTTGTACATAGAATATATACCGTATGTATTTACATACACATATATGCATACTATATATTTATGCCAAAAACTTTATGATGGCAGGGACTATATCTGTCTTATTCATGACTATGGGATAGGGTTAAGCACACAGAGTCATTTGTTCATGCATTCATTTGTTCAATAAATAATTATACACATCAATCCCTTTTGCATTTTTTTCTGTTACACTCGGGCTCTTTTTGCTCAGCATTCTTATTATACATGATGTTAATTGATGATATAGTTAACAAAAAATATTTTGGACTTCAATGAGTTTGAGGAACACTGGTTAAAAACAGATGAAATACTTTTCTTTGCTACCTGATGTACATTGTGAATTTATAATATGCCTTCTTTTGAAAACTTATTTCGGATCCTGCAACTTTTAACAATTTTTCCTAAACTGTCTGGAGACTAGCTTTTTGGTGCCACTTGGGAAGCATTGGTCTAGAACTTACATCTTCACACACTTCCACATTCATTTTTCTGCTTCTCTTTTTGAACTCTCCTTGAGTTGTTGTTTAGTCAAGCAGAGGGTCTCCAAAATAACCACATGTCGTGTGATATTCAGTATTGTCCTATGCCAAGTTAAATAGTATAAAACATCAAAAAGTCACTTATAAAGACAATTTATAAACCTGATTTAAGATGAAAACAAATATTAATAGAATTAGTTTGGAATTAAAACTTAAATTAAAAAAAAATATATACTGCTAATTAACAGGTTCCTCCTGCCCCGTATGTTTTTGGTCTTTAACTATAATCAGCTGCATCAGCCAATTTTTTCATTGTATTTGAGTACTATCTAAAACCTAATTTTGGGCCAGGCTTGGTAGCTCAGCCTGTAATCCCAGCACTTTGGGAGACCGAAGCTAGTGGATTGCCTGAGCCCATGGATTTGAGACCAACCTGGGCAACTTGGCAGGACCTTGTCTCTATAATAAAATTTAAAAAACAAATCAAAACAAAACAAAAACTAACTGGGCGTGGTAGTGCGTGCCTGTAGTTCCGGCTACTTAGAAGGCTGAGGCAGAAAGATCGCCAGAGCCCAGTAGGTTGACACTAGAGTGGCCGTGAGCATGATACTGTACTCTAGTCTGAGCGACAGACAGATTCCAACTCAAAAAAAAAAAAAAAAATAAAATAAAACTTAATTTTGGTCCTTACTGTTATTAAGTTGCTAAGACAGACTTCTCATATCCTTTCCTTGGACATTATCGAATACTTGCATTTATTGAGTGCATTTGTCATTTCATTTTATTTTCAAATAGTCCACATTATTTCATATGCTTGTCCACGTCCTGTTTCAAAGTTAAAAGCATTATACTTTTCCATTCCAAATGGATCACTGGGTACATTTATATGAGAAAAGTATGATCTTTATGTAAAAACCTTTGGAGTTAGCACTATACCAAAGATTACAAGGGGTTTCTGTAAAGTGATAACCTTTAAATATATGAAACCAAAAAGGCTAGATACATCACTTTTCAGTCTCAAGAAACAAAGAACTGATCTCAGTTTGAGATGGCTAAATAATGAAGACAGTGAAGCAGCCAGGTTTGTCACTCCAGACCTAGCTCATATGAGAAAGTAAATGGATTGGGAGCATGGATGTACCATATAGTAACCATTTAAGGATTCATATTTCTGAACTTATTTTATAGTCCATAGAATGATTTCAAGTCTAATCTCATGCTAGACTTTTATTTAGCTGATTTAAAAAATATTTGAAAAGAATAAAGTAAAATTGCCAAGAATCTTAATGAACTTTTTCTTTGAAAATTCAAAATGTTTTTTCAAGGTGTAACTTTAAAAAGTTAAAAACATAACTCTCGCTGGGCTCGGTGGCTCAGCCTGTAATCCCAGAACTTTGGAAGGCTGAGGCCAGTGGATTGCCTGAGCCCGCGGATTAAAAAACAGCCCCGGCAACTTGGTGAGATCTCCTCTCTACAACAGAGAGACGAGCGGGGTAGCGTGCGCCTGAAGTTCCAGCTACTTGAAAGGCTGAGGCGGAAGGATCGCCGGAGCCCAGGAGGTCGATGCTGGGGTGACCATGAATGTGCCACTTACACTCCAGCCCGGGCGACAGAGTGAGACTTCACCTCAGAGTAACAACAACAAAAACAACAACTACAACAACAACAACAAAAACACAACTCTCATGCAAATATGGGCAGGCATCAGAGCTCTGTTCACTTATTAATGGAGAGAACTGTATGATAGGGAAGCTTGTTCCAAGAGCACTTTGAGGAGATGAGTGTGTACAGACATTTAGAAAAAAAATGTAAGTTTGGTTCGATGAAAAATGATTTGGTTAGATGCAAAATTGGTTAACTTCCTACAGTGCAATAAAACCACAAACATTGTGGTTATCTTTTCCTCTGGTTATATTGAACAAAATGTGCAAGTTAACATGTAACTTCACTGTGGCTGGAATGTAATCAATAGTGATTAGCAAAGCCAAACATCCAAAGAATTCACCAGCCCCTGGGTGAATCTGCTAACCAATGTCTCAGTGTGACATTGAAAAGTCATGCTCTTTCCCCTTACTTCCAAGTTTTGGTCATTTCCCCAATTATCCGGGGGGAAAAGTTATGGGTTTTTAAAAAAAAAAAAAATGATAAATTAACTCATTCGCGTATGTAGTTTGGACTAAAAACCGCCATCCCGGCTACTTCTGGGAATGGAAAGATTTTTAACAGGGGAGATGGGGATCTTATTTCAAGATTCCAATAAGCATCGTTCATACATGATTGTTCATTCGGTATCCAGGTCAACATGGCAGGAGGAACGAACAATGGAAAGGGGGCAGGACACATATCCCCAGGGGAATGGAGCAAGTCGGGGCTGACAGTCCTTCCTTCCCCCAGCAGGGCCGCCTTTATTCAAAGGGGAGAGCGTGTGTGAGCTGGTCTCTTCTTCCTTTGTAAAGGTGCTGGGGAGCGGAACTCTGGCGGGCTGCTCTGGGCAGAGCGAGTCCCACGCCTTTGCACGGTGTCCTAATCACCAACTAACGCCGGAAGGCATTTTCCACTCGCCCTGCGTGGGCTCATTCACAGCTCTGTTGTCCGGGACTGGGCGCTTCCTCTTGGGGACTGAAATAACCGAGCGCAGACAGATCAGGTGCGACGCAGCGAGCCCTCCTTGGGAGGCTGTTTTCCCTCGGCAATAAAACGCAACGCACGCATACAAAATAAAACACCCAACACTAGCCATGCCCCCCTCCCCCCTCCTCGTTCCCTCCCGGCTTTTTCTGAACGAGGGATGCATCTCTGGGAGTCTCCATCCCTGGGGGGCGGGGGGGG